ACTCCTCCGAGAAGAAATAAAACGGATTAACGCAACCTCAAGCAGAAATATAGCAGATTGTAGTTGGATTCGGAAGGCATTTTGCTATGATGGCAAACTAGGCAAGACCGAGAGTGGAGTAAGGATTAGAAAGGAAGCCTGAAGTAATTTCATCCTTTGCACAAGTTCCAGGAATAATCTTAAGTTAAAAAGTGCTGCGCTGAATCTACAGCAGACCACCAATAAATTACGCAGGTAAAAATTCATCAAGCGATGGAATTGCAAAGAAGGCAAAGCGATTAAATAGAAGTGGAGAGTGCCCACCAAAGATCCTCCTGGTCGCCAGCCGTGCAACTGCTGACAAGTTTGCGAATAAAAAGCTTCTCTTCGGCTCGCAGGTCGGGGTGTAGATAGGCAGTGAAGGAGAAAACAGCAGTAAGAACAAGGAGGTAGGTGATGGGTCGTTCGGCACATCGCTTCCGACGAAACTTCTGCACTGCTTTGTTGCAGCACACTACTAGTGCACCAAATATGCCCTACAATGAGAAGAAGTCACTTTTTACAACATTGCTGAAAGTTATCGTATGTTCAAATCGAGACTGTCGCTTTAGCTTATCACTATCTAGAATCCCACATGACATGTGGAGAATAAGTTACGCCACATCAAATTGTTCATCCTTGGAATAGTTGTAATGCCTCTTCCCATTTCCCTCTCTCTCTTCATAACAATATAACCGTCAACTCGCACACCGTTGAAGTGGACTTTACACTTATCTACCTATGTCTCTAATGATGTACATTAAATACGCCAAATTTTACTCCCTCTATCAATAGACTTTCCAAAAATAAAGTCCAGGTGGTATCATCAGGATTTAACACAACAAAAGAAAATGAAATGTTAATCACGAAGTGAAATTTCAGACTCTCCCATATACTTTAATAAACCCACTTTCTAACTTCTGTGTCGCATAGCGCTTTCAATTAAGTAACGCGGAGCCATACCCCACAAACGCCAAGAGCGGCAAAGGGTACCAGTTCTACGAAGTGCCAGGTGGTATCGTGATCCACTGAGAGGAGGATAAGGTGCTCCTCCCCAAAGGGATTCAGCGCTCGAGCCACATAGGCCGCCGCTAAGGCACAGAAGAAAGATCGAAAGAGGGTCTTGGCAGGAAAGTAATAGCTAGCCACCTCGAGGGAGAAGAGAACTCCACCGATAGGCGCCCCAAAACAAGCACCCATGCCGCCAGCAACTGCCGCCGAAATGAGCTAAAACAAACAGATCGAATGCAGGCATCCACTTAGAGCAGACGATGACTTTTGCGACTGCGGTACAGCCGTCAACTTAATAGCATGACTTTCCGAATATAGTTTTCTATTAGCAATTCACTAGCCTTTCTGCTTGATATTCTGATGTTTACATCCAAATTCATGATTCGAATAATGGCTTTGATAAGGGTTTGAGCATACTTTAATTGTAATTTGGAGCTAAAGTTTAATAGAAAATGGGCACTGACGTGGCGACGTGATTATAACTTCGCAGGGCCTTTTTAACAGTACTGAGAGTAATTCTGATGACGGTACCGAATCAAGCCTGTCTGTTAAAGGAGAAACAAAACATTCGAGCCAAAAAGAGATCAGAACGTTAAAACTTTAAACATAATAAAGGCCTAACTATTAGTACCCCTGAGCTAGTTTTGAATGACCACCATCAACGAAACGATTGACTTAAGGAAGTGATCCATTGGA